ATGTCTTTCAACAAAAAACTGTGGATTCCTCCTTTCACCACGTCGTCTTCTGACCCTGGCACGACCATCGTGCATGCCTAAACAAAATCGAGACTCGTCACTAAAGACAATACTGTTCCATTCCTGATCCCAGAGTGACCGTTGTCTGCACCACTCAAGGCGATTACGTCGGTGTTCTCGAGTTAAAGGGAGGACCCAGTGTGGCCGGTATGAAAACAAGCCAAAACTTCTCATTCGTCGGTAAACACTTCGCATCCCAATAGGTCTTCCGTGTTCTGCAAACCATTCATTTGCAATGGACCTGGTACAGGAGAAACGGTCTCTTAAGGCCAATAATCTTAGGCGGCGATCTTCACGGTCTGTTGTTCTACGGCGGCGTCCGGTGCCCCTTGCTCTTTGCGTACGGCCTTCTCGAAGCCATGCCTGACAACACCTAACCACAGTGTCTACACTTCTTTGCACTCTAACTGCAATTGCCCGGAAAGAAAGTCCAGCTTCCCGAAGTCCCACTATACAGCCCCTATCAAACTCACTAAGTTGACGAAATCGTACAGGTCTCCGTACTCTAGGCATCGTAACCGATTGTAAAGGATGTCAAGAACCAAAATCCGCCAACGTTGATTCTTCACTGCGGCTGAAATATTCATTTTTAGAGCGTTAGTGGATTAAAAGAAAGCAGTATAAAAACCGGAACGTCCAACTGATAAGGCTGAAAATTTTTTCACTTGTTATTTACAGTAAGATAAATACATTCACCAACTTTTATTAAAATAAAACCATTTAAACTGGGTGTTCGGATTTATATGTCACTTAGTATATTCACAAGTTGTTTAGCAGCAAACAGCTTTACTCAAATTCTGAAAATACATTATATCCAGAAGAAATCTATGGCATTAAATATCACTTTTAATGTCTTAAGAATGTCCATTGACGCGCAATTAAGACTCTTGGGGTTGGGTTTAAATTTTAAAGACCACTGTGTATATATTGCTTCAAAGACAAACTCCCAACCATATTTTATGAAAAATTTGCAAACGGTCCTTACTGAAGCACAGATAGCTTCTGTTTACTATGCCCAAGTTGAGTCACGACTGAGGTATGATGCACTATCCTTCTGGGGTTTGTCCACAAATGTCCAGCAAGTATTTTTGTGGTTAGATGTATGATAGGAGTGAGTAGTAGGCATTTTTGTAAAAGTATTTTTAAGCGTCTTAAAGTTTTAACTTCAGCATCTTCATTTTTGTACGAAGTGGCTGTGCATACTTTTATTACAAAAAATAGGCTTTTAAACAATTATAACTCGTACTGGACCAGGCAAGCTAGAGACTGTCGTTTATTTTCTAGTTCATAACACTAAATCCACGATTCATCACCACTAACAATGCTGTACACATTTTTTGAGTTTCCGGAAGTGAAACGGTCAAGCGTTTTTTGACACCAATTAACCCTGGCTGCTTTCTGCTCTTCAGTCAACAGGTAGAGTATCCAACGAGAAACTAATGAAAGTTGTAATAAATTATGGCGCGAAAATGTTATCTAATGACTTCTGGACACTTAAAAATTAACTGTAGAGAGAACACGTCACGTATTGTTGTGAAACTTTGAATTTAAGTTTACTAAATAGTGAGGTTAAGATTCAGTACTGACTTTCGATCCGCGCGGCCTACTATGCTTCTATATGCAAAACTTAAAAGACATCCCTCGTATCACTGAAATAATTGAAAATCAAATCAAAAGGGATGGATTTGATAAGGCTGAAATATATTTCCAGCAAACTGCATCGAATGCCTGAGAAACGACAAGAGATGTAGCCGCATAGTATTGTTCTGTCTCCAAGTTCTTCCGAATTTTTTACTTCCAACGCCACTGAGCGGCGAGGTATTATAATCGCGAAAAAATTGGAAAATGAGATGTTTTTTGGATGTTGTATGATAATCTTATCTGTCTGGCTGTCGTTGCACATTATCATCGCTATCAGACACTTTTTGTTAGAAATATCAGTCAAAACTATGTCAAAATTACCAGAATTTTGGAATCTTCCAATGATTAAGAAACCTTGGCACATATATGTCCGTCTGACACTGGTACTGGAACTGCCAGCCGATTGGACATTGGCAGAAACAGCTTTTTATATTATGATTATGTATCACTTCTAAAAAATTTTAGAATACCGGAAATAGCAGTCAGATCTTAAATTTTTTAAATAATGCACAAAAAATGTGATAGGTATGTCCATTTCAGGAGGCAGGCATATTCTCAAGGGGGAGCATGAGCTTGGGGACTGGAGACTAATTTCGTGGGCTTGTTTGACTGACTTGATCCGTTGAATACATGCTCGTAGCTAACTTCTTTCTAGATGGGCTAACTCATGCCGAAGGTCATCTTTTATGAACGTCAGCCTAGACGAATATACCGTCTAGTCTTGTGTTGAAAAAAAAAATCAAGGATTTCAAATTCCTTTGAAGTATTTCATCCCAATAACCAAACAATACTAATAACTGGATATACCAGTATACAGGGTGTCCCAGAAGTCGACGTCAAGCCGAAACCGGGTGATAGGCAAAGTCATAACAGCTATCAGAAAAATATTTAAAAAATTTTTATGTATGTATTCTGAAAATTATAGGTCTTTGAAAAAGAGACAGAAATTTCACACCCTACGGCAGTCTGTCAACTCCTGTTATTACAAATATTAACTTTTTTTGGATTTTATTTTTACAATGTAATGATGAATAATGCATCTTCAAACTGGTGTCTCAACCTTACTGCCAACTTTTCTCGTTCAGGAAAAATTGCCACTTATTTCCCAACCAAGTAAAACTTTGCTCAACTTTAACTGGCTGTACTGGAAAAAATGTACTACGAGAGTTTGGCAAGTAACCTTAAAAGTTGGCGCATTTAATAACGATTCCAAAATGGTATAACACTTAGAAGATTACTCGTTAACTTATGCACAATTTTTATTTGAAGAAAAACTGATGAAAATTTTTCAAAATTTCCTAATTAAACAGCGATTATGAAAACGCACAAGGACCCTTAAGGATAACTGTTTGCACAACAGTGGGCGTCAAAATGCTGCTGCTGATGATTTACCTTTACAGCAAATGCTGAAACTGTTTTCCTTCAGCCGCAATACACGCTCGACATCTTCTTAAAAAAGATCGGGTTATTAAACGAGCGAATCCACTGTTATTAACAAATTCAGCTGCTTCCAATAGTCTTTGCCGTAGCTCAGCTACATTTTGAATCGGCTTGAAATACACTTTTTCTTTTACAGTTCCGCAGTAAAAAAATCTAAAAGATTCAAATCTGGTGACCGGGCTGGCCACGGTATTGTACCAGACCGCCCTATCCATCTGCCTGGAAAGTTTTGATCGAGATACTCTCTCACTGAGAGTGCATAGTGCTCTGGGCAGCCATCATGCTGAAACCACATGTCCCTGTAAATACTCAGTGGCACGTCCTCCAATAAATTTTCTAAATGATTTTGCAAAAAACCTAAATAAACCTCAGCAGTCAAAGTCTCTGGGAACTCAAACGTACCGATTATTTTACCATTTAAAATTCCTGTCCAATGGTTTATCTTGAAGCGATATCGAGATTTATCTTCTCTCATCAAATGTGGGTTTGCTACGTACCACATACAGCGTGTTCAACCTCTCCTGCCCCGGGATTATGAGCCCCGAGTTCCTTTTTGTCGCACGATGTTAGAAAGACACAGGAAAAATCCACAGTTCTTTGAAAAAATTTTATGGTTGGATGAGACCACATTTAAGAAAGATGGGTACATGAACCTGCATAACTTACACGAGTGGCACGTAGCAAACCCACATTTGATGAGAGAAGATAAATCTCAATATCGCTTCAAGATAAACCATTGGACAGGAATTTTAAATGGTAAAATAATCGGTCCGTTTGAGTTCCCAGAAACTTTGACTGCTGAAGTTTATTTGGATTTTTTGAAAAATCATGTACAAAATTTATTGGTGGACGTGCCACTGAGTATTTCAGGGACATGTGGTTTCAGCATGATGGCTGCCCAGCGCACTATGCACTCTCAGTGAGAGAGTATCTCGATCAAAACTTTCCAATACCGTGGCCAGCCCGATCACCTGATTTGAATCCTTTGGACTTTTTAACTTAGGAACGGTAAAAGAAAAAGTGTATTTCAAGCCGATTCAAAATGTAGCTGAGCTACGGCAAAGACTATTGGAAGCAGCTGAGTTTGTTAATAACCGTGGATTCGCTCGTTTAATAACCCGATCTTTTTTAAGAAGATGTCGAGCGTGTATTGCGGTTGAAGGAAAACAGTTTGAGCATTTGCTGTAAAGGTAAATCATCATCAGCAGCATTTTGACGCCCACTGTTGTGTAAACAGTTATCCTTAAGGGTCCTTGTGCGTTTTCATAATCGCTGTTTAATTAGGAAATTTTCAAAAATTTTCATCAGTTTTTTTTCAAATAAAAATTGTGCATAAGTTAACGAGTAATCTTCTAAGTGTTATACCATTTTGGAATCGTTATTAAATGCGCCAACTTTTAAGGTTACTTGCCAAACTCTCGTAGTACATTTTTTTCCAGTACAGCCAGTTAAAGTTGAGCAAAGTTTTACTTTGGAATACTTGGTTGGGAAATAAGTGGCAATTATTCCTGAACGAGAAAAGTTGGCAGTAAGGTTGAGACACCAGTTTGAAGATGCGTTATTCATCATTACATTGCAAAAATAAAATCCAAAAAAGTTAATATTTGTAGTAACAGGAGTTGACAGACTGCCGTAGGGTGTGAAATTTCTATATCTTTTTCAAAGACCTATAATTTTCAAAACACATACATAATTTTTTTTTAAATATTTTTCTGAAAGCTGTTATGACTTTGCCTATCACCCGGTTTCGGCTTGACGTCGACTTCTGGGACACCCTGTATAAATGAATGTCTAAACGTCATTAAAATGACGGTTTAAGATGGTTGTGATTATATGTATGTATGCATGTTCTTACTTACATTGTATTTGAACATAATATTGTTGCTCCAACAGTCTCCATGAAGTAGTACCTCATTCTCCCCGGCATACACGTAGGCCTCCCTTAAGTTCTCTGTAATATTTCCCACGACTTTCTTCAATTTTTCCGAATTTCCCATCCATTTTGTCAAGTCTTCTTGCAGCTCGGCGCTTGACTTTGTTTTAAAGTCTTCAACAAAAGGCACTTTGAGGAATTCCTTGGCTTCCAAAAACCCGTCGGAATCCAGTTCACGCAAAGCAAAGGAAAGCGCATGAAGTTTGCCGTAGGTTTCAAATATCAAATCGTAGTGCTGTTTTTCTAAAGGCTTTTGTTTATCGTGTGTTCCGTACCCACACAGCTTCAGGTTATTCAGCACAAGGATGGTGCATTTTTCATTTGCTCCATAAAAATGAGGCGTCTTATCGAATCTCTCGGTAGAAAACCTCTCCTCGAGGCGTTTATAGTTTGGTAATAATGTCTTGTAGAAATATATTTCGTTGGAGAAGGCAGAGTCCAAAAACTTTTGAAACAAATCGCTCTGGCAGGTAAGACTTCTTTTGACTGCAATCTCATGTCGTAGATTGTTACAAGTGTCACTTAAAGAGACAAAGAAAAATTCCCCCAAGTGACCCGCACCTTTTCTATTCGGATCATGAAGACTTACTTTCAATTCACTTAGACTCTTCTTAAAGATACTTTCCAATAGTTCTTTCACGTCTTCAGGTAGCTGTTCCATTGTAGTTAGGCACTAAATTTTATAGATGATTCCATTGCACATATTCAAGTATATATGTAAACTAGTTTGAGAGCTCTGTCGAATTAAGCTAATGATATCAGTCGAAAAACCGTTGATAAGGACGGCAAACGCATTCACTATGATTATAAAAGTGCAACTGCATTCAAACATGTGCAACTATTATTATATCACTGTCAAGGATATGTGTATAGGCTTGTTTTCATGGCATGCACTTTAGATGAGAGTGATGTAATCGAAAATTTAACGATCATTTCTAGCACGTGTATTGCAGCGACGCATCCCAAATAGTAGTTTATATTGAAAAAACATCAACTTCTTTGCTTAAGGCGGCTCAGACGCAGTGAGTTTCAAGCCATTTACAAGGGTTTAGCTGCTTCGAAACTGATACTCTATTTTTCAATATTTTTGAATGAAATTCATACAGTATAGAGAAGATAATTGCCCAGGGTGCTATAATAATAATAATAATAATAATAATATTTTATTCACCAAAATACAAAAAATGGGCAAATAAATATGAAAAAACCACAGAAGGCATCGCCTGTGTGTGGTTTATATCTTAATAACTAACAATCAATCATATATGTGTATAACAATTATTGTTAAATCTAAAAGGTATTAATGTAATTGGAATTTTGTAGTTTTAGTTTTCTATATAATTATGTATAGTCATTCGCTGCACATTACTAACCCAGTCTTTCAATTTTCTTCTAAATTTTTTTCCAAAATTAAGTATCTTTATTTCGTTTGGTACTACATTATATAATTTAGCTGCTAAGAATTTAAATGATTTTTTGAATAATGTTTTGTGTGGTCTTTGGATATTAGATGAGCCTATTCGAAATCGTGTGTTATGCTCGTGTTTATAGGATTTTTTCTTTTTATTACAATACTTATGGTATAACGTGGTGGCATGTAAGAAATAAAGTTGTCTTGTATCAAGTATCCCTGTTTCTTGATATAAGTTGTTCGTTGGATATAATCTTGGCTTATGGAAAATGGCTTTCAAAACAGTTTTTTGTGCTATATTCAGGTCAGAAATATATGTCTTGCAGGCGGCACCCCAGGCTGTGATGCCGTATATTATATGGGTTTCAACTAAGGCATGGTATAGGATTCGCAGATAACTTTCTGTAAGAATGTTAGCAAGCATTTTGAGTTTATAGGCAACATTTCTAATTTTTTTGATAACATATTTAATATGGTTATCCCACCTTAGATGTGAGTCTATAAATATTCCAAGATATTTCAAAGTGTTAACTCTATCGAATTTGGTCTTTTGGCCATGATAATTAACGGAAATTTGTTCGAAGGTAGGTAAAAATTTTGAATAGGATGTAAATGTAATAAATTTTGTTTTTTTGAAGTTAACTGTTAAAATTTTAGTATCAAACCAGTCAATGATCCTTATAAAATCCTTTTCAGCTATTTGCTTCAGTGTGCTCCAGTCATCAGCTTTATACATATAATACGAGGGTGTCGTCTGCAAAACATATAATCTTTCCAGAACTGTTAATTTTGAATAAGTCATTTAAGTAGAGACTAAATAATAGTGGGCCTAGTACTGTTCCTTGAGGCACACCACACTTGATGTACATTTTTTTACTGTAAGTGTTAGTGATTTTGACAGTCTGTGCCCGACTTGAAAGGTAATTTTTTAAAAGGATTTGTGACGCTCCCCTAAATCCCAATCTTTCCATAACTTTCAGAAGCTCGACATGGTTAACCGTATCAAAGGCATTTTTTAGATCAACAAAGATACCAATAGTAGGTATCTTTTTGTTGACATTAGAGTTAATTTCATCCATTGCAGCCAAAATTGCATCTGTAGTAGATTTTCCTTTTCTAAATCCATATTGGTCAGAACATATAATTTTGTTTTTGTCCAAAAATTGTAATATCCTTTTTTGTAGTAATTTTTCGAAAATTTTGGCTATATTCGATAGTACTGATATGGGTCTATAATTTGATGTTTCCATTCTGTCACCGCCTTTATAAACAGGAGTAATAACAGTTGTTTTAAATGCATCAGGACAAATTCCAGATTGGAAACACCAATTAATGACGTAAGAAAGTGGTTCGGCTAAGTCGTAGGCTATTATTTTTAAATGCTCAGCTTTGATACCATCTACACCAGGACTTTTTTTGGTTTTAAGTGATAGGACAGCTTCTTGTACTTCAATCGGACTAACGCTTTCTAAAAAGAATGAATTGGGAAGTTGGGTTTTTGTGAACTTTTCGTTCGAAACCATTTTTTTAATACTGGATGCTAAATTTTCTCCAACATTAGTGAAAATATTTAAGAATGCATCGGATATTTGTCGTTTATCTGTTAATATTGTTCCATCATGATTCTTAATTTCATCAATATTTGGTTTTTCTTGAACGTCTTTGTTAGTTAAGTGATCGACAACTGACCACAGTTTTCTTGGATCAGATTTGGCATCTTGTAATTTTTTTAGATAGAATTGGCGTTTTGCTTCTCTAACTAGATTGATAAAAATATTTTTATATTCTTTATATTTATGGGAGGTATCTGCACATGGCGATGCTTTCATTATTTTGTATAGTTCCTCTTTTTTGTTGGCAGACTTTATCAAACCTTTAGTTATCCAGGGATTCCTGCTTCTGTCAAAATGTTTAATTTTAACTCTGTTTGTTCTACATTCAATTAAATATTTTATGCGTTCAATGAGTGTGTTTGCAGCATCATTAACATTCGATTCTAATTTGATATTTGCAAGTAGTTTTTTATTATCGACAAAATACCTAAATTTCACTGTTTCATTATTGGAGATGGATCTACTTTTATTTTTTTCTGGTGATGATATAAGTATTACAGTGGGTAAATGATCGGTAATGTGGTTTTCAACAATTAACGGTATGTACCGAAAGAAATTTGAAAAATTTTTGATGAAACAATGATCAATGCAAGAACTGGAACTATTATTGACTACTCTTGTTGGTAAATTTATATTTGATATGAATCCATTGCTCTGCATTACAGTGAGGTATTTGTTTACTAATTTGGTATGTTGGAGTATATTAATATTCATATCTCCTATTATGATGTGGTGTGACTGTATGGCATTTTTGTTATCTAACAAAAATTTTTCAAGATTTTCTACAAATGTATAAGGGTTTGATGATGGTGGTCGATAGACAGATGTGACTTTTACACTTTTGTTATTAATTCTCAATATCAAATCCAACACTGTGATACCGTCATCAAATTTAACAAAATCACATCTGTAGTTGATATCATTTCTTACATATACTACCACCCCATCATTCTGGTTGTACGTACCATTATTGTAAAGCATATCATAACCTTCCAAACAGAACAAAGATACATCATTAATTTTCCAAGTTTCTGTTAATATTATTATATCAAATTTGTGATTAATTGTAGTTAGGAAGATATTAAAACAGTCAAAATTTTGGTTTAGGCTTCGTATATTCATGTGATATAAGCTAACATTGAAATTAGAATATTCTAACCATTTATTAAGAGCATTTGCGTCTTGAGCAATATTTGTATTGATATCATTAACCTGAAAATTATTTACGTAACTATCCATGTAAAATTTTGCAAATGATATGTAGCTCGAAAAACGTAAAAAGAACTAAACGCTCAAAACATTATTCTGGATGAATACTGTTTTTGAAAATATAAATACGACGGGCATTTTTTGTCTGTGGGCGAGTGACCAACATCATTATTCTTATTATGCTTAACGTTATAGTTCATACAGTTAGAACATTTTAAAATGTTTACAGTACAAATTTCACTTCTATGTGCTTGTCCACATTTAATGCACATTTCCGCGCCCCTACATTTTTTGTCTGTGTGACCAAACTTCAAGCATTTTCTACACTGCGATATCTGGTTATTATCATAGACAAATAAGTTTTGCCAACCTAGTAGTATTCTTGATTTCTTGTTGATAAATATGTCTCTATATAGCTCTCCAGAAACTTCAGCGAATATAGTATAAGAATTTCGGAATGGTATGTGTCGTACAAAAGTGATTTCGATTTCGTTTTCATTAATGAATGTATTTTGGGATATGATTTCTTCTTTAATTTCTGCTTCTGAAGGTTTTTTTTCAGTTTTGTAGCCTATGATCTTAATTTTCGGTCTCATTTCTCTTGCTCCTGATATATTGTATTTTCCCTTCAACTTAGTTTCTAGTTCATTTTTGAGTTTCTGGTAATAACATTGCTCAACTTGAATTTCGACGCCGCCGTTTTTATAATTATTTACTTTCTCTATCTTGACTTCAATACTTGCTAGATTAATGTTACTAGTTAGGTCTTTTCTGGTGTCATTATAATGTTGGGTCCTTTCGGGAGTAACTAATATGGATTTTATGTCATTGTTGTTCTTGTTGTTGCTATTGATTTTAGGAGTATTTTGCTTTAAAATTTGTGAGTATGATGTATTCTCTGACGTTCTTTTCTCAAGTTGTTCTAGTTGATTAGTTACAATAGCCAAAGTAGATACAACGGATTCCTTCTCTACTATGTTGGCAGAAATCAAGTCATATGCTTCCTGTAGTCTACGGTTTTCATTTACCAACTGATATATAAATCTTTCCTTTTCTTCCAAAAGCTGTTTAAGATAATAATTCTCTTTGACAATAGTTTCTTGGTACTCTTTTCACTTACGCTAATTTGAATATTTGGTTCTAGAGTTTCGTTTTCGCATTCATTTTTCTTCTTTTTGGGCATATTGCATATGAACACTCCTTATATCAATTTCTCATAAAGTTCACTTTGACAGAATGAATTTGTCAACAATTGTCAATTTGGTATTACGGTCTCAAAATAGTGTTAGATGATGGAAGGATCTCACCAATTAGCTCCACAAATCTGGCCGACCTCAGGAAATATTAGATTACACAGCAGCAATTTTTCTCGACTGGGAAACTAATGAAATTGACGAAAAGTTCTAGAGCTAGTTAAAGGTAGATAGCTAGTACAAATCGCTCTGGATCTAAAATAGGAGCACTTTTTGAAATTTTGTTTTTGCACAAGTTTTATGATAGGTAGAAGTGCGCACTTTTTTTGTTCTACTTCGACAAATCGTATTTTAGACGAATTTTGTCTACTGTTTCGTGCTGCCAACCCAAGCGTTGCGGCGCAATGCACGGACTAAGAAAGGACGTATTCAGATAATTTGGTGGCCCTATTTCATATAATATCGCGTA